ATAGATATCTGTACCATCGCCCTCCCCCTAAAAAATTTTACATTTCACAAAAGAATCACATGTACAAATTTAATTGAATTGATTATAAGGATATGTATAATATACTAAGTATAGCAAGTCCTTTTACAAATAACCACATCCACGAAATATAGAAATAGACTTCGACGCTGTTTCTTCTAGACCGTCACATATAGCCATCTCAGTCAATTCACGTGCGTAATTCATATGACTATGCAAATAGTCTCATTACTTTAAAACATACTTCACACGTATTCAAGTCTGTGTGATATAGAGGTTGATATGATAAATCTTTATGACGGTGTCCCAAAATAAATATAAGGGTATTTTCGGCGAATCTACAGTGGTGAAAGCCACAATTGTTCATGACAACAGTGTCCCGGGACGTAAGCAATATTTTCCAAATCAATCTAATTCATGTAAAGCATTAGAAAAAAAGTCAACGAGATGAAATACATTTGAAGGTCCACCTAAAATATTGAAATATTCAATTCCCAATGGCCCATGAAGGAGGTTTTCCGTGTGGGTGGCATTGGAATCATATTTGTGTACCTCTATTGCCTTTTCCCCTACTGTTGAATGTCAGTAAAGTCTATTTCTAGATGAAAACTCCATATCGATGAAAAGAATATGTTCGTCCATTATGAACGCCTGTATACTAGTATCTTTATGCCAAGGTCATATATAAAATAATGTGAAATTACCATATATAGTTTATTATCTACCAGTACACGTCCGTCATTGTCCTTTTTTACATAGTGCACTTAATGTAGTATCTTTCATGGATCAGAATAACCTTTGTCCTTTCGATTATGGTATACTTATATATTTCAATTTGTTGCATTGTTTCTTTGAAAGACATATATAAAATAAGAAGAAGTGGTATGATTACCAATAAGAAAACTAAGGGGACAACCAGTTGCTATTTTTAGGGGAAGGTGGATTTTTTTCTGAGGGAAATTAAGTTTCAACTTTGTACGGTTTTGACATGCAAACATTACTTTTTACTTTTGTACACCTTTATTTACTGCATTGTGTTGGGTAAAATATACATTTTCATTTTGTTTGGGCGAGGTTATTTATTTTTAAGTCCTAACCAGGCCAGACTATTTAATTTCACAATTCTGCACCCCCTCCTCAGAATATCAAGTGGTCGTCCCCTAACATACAGAGTCAAAATAAAGGTGATTACAGCAACTATAGGTAATCATACGGCCTTCAACATTATTAGCAACCCGATGCCCTGTAGTCAGTTATAAAAGGCCCCGACATGACAAAATGTGAAACAATTTAAAGGAAAAAATCAACCCGAAACAAACATGCCTTCAGAGTTACATGTGATCCATTAGCAAACAAGACTAGGCAACAAATATTAATCAAGTAATTGATGAGCCTTATACACAAAACAAACTAATTTCCAGGTATTCGAAGCGTTACTAAATAGTTTTCTAAGGAATTCATTGGGATACAAAGGACAATAATAGACAATCAAGTAGTAGAGAAATTTAAAACACTTTGACAAACGGTTAAATTGGAAAAACATGACTCACGTATTCGAAAATCGTTCAATTGATTTAATATGTACTATTAACACATGACATAGGCAAAATCTAATTGTTCTTACTGTGCTATAATCTGGATAATGCATAGCTAAGGTGTGCATTAACTACCTCAGATATACTGCACCGTTCAAATGTACTCTTATCTTTAGGGGCGAATCCAGGATTTTTCAAAGATATAGGGGCGTGCTCCATAAAAAAGTTTGACGATTTTAGATTTAGACATTATATATTTTCCAATCAAAGGAGGGGGGGGGGGGGCATACGCCCTCTTCGCCCCCTTTTGAATCTGCCACTGACCTATCAGTACGGCATAGTTGATCAATTAACAACTTTGTATACACTGTCCTTTCAAATTATGAAATAGAAAGTGCTTCTTATTCGTTATATGTTTTTAACACATGACATAGGCAACATCTGATTGTTCCTACTGTGCTATAATCTGGATAATGCACAGCTAAGGTGTGCATTAACTACCTCAGATATACTGCACAGTTCAAATGTACTCTTATCTTTAGGGGCGGATCCAGGATTTTTCAAAGATAAAGGGGCGTAGTTCCATAAAAAAGTTTGATGATTTTAGATTTAGAATTTATATATTTTCCAATCAATAGGGGGTGAGTGAGGGGGGCATACGCCCTCTTCGCCCCCTTTTGAATCTGCCTCTGACCTATCAATTACGGCATAGTTGATAAATTAACAACTTTGTATACACTTTGTCCTTTCTACATATGAAATAGAAAGTGCTTCTCATTCGTTATAAACATTTAATGATATTATGTGTACAATTAAAATCTTAAAACAGTGTTTTAAAGTCAAACAAAATAAAGTTAAAGATTGAAAAAGTGAAACGTGTTTTGTTTACTTTGCTTAATAAATTTAAATACATCTCGCTTCGATTAATCTTCCTCTGAGCATATTCTTGACGGAAATAAAAGCTTTTTATGTAGATGTGTAAGGAGATGTGGGTTATACGCCAAAAAGACAAAAATCAAACGACAAAAACTACCTAAGCACATCTAGAGGGCAACATATAGTGTTCAACAATAGACAGGTGTCTAAAGAAATGCCAAGTGCTAAACCGTTAATCAAAAGCTCACTCATCGCGTATGTTGCATTTCTATTTATCTTGCCGACTTAAAAAGACAACTTATTTAATTTGATTTGATCGTCACGAAATTTATATAAAAATTGTGAATTTTAACAGAAACAAACAATAACACAATTCTTCAAATATTGTAACAATTTAGGAGAGAGTCAGAATATCAAAAAAGGTTATTATTTAAAAGTTACCAACCTTTTACTACTTAAATGCATATTTCCCTCTTTCTTTACCCTACAAGAAAACTTTCCCAGGAGCCGTTGATTGAATATCGTCCGAATATTTCCAAAACGTTCATGTACATTGAATTGATGACGTCATTTGCTAAAAACAGTTATTGACCAATCAAATCGGTATATATCATTTATCATGCACGGTCGGGACGACCCATTTACCCGAACTATTACGTCGTTCTGGTCAAGTAAGGTCACCCGAGCCATGCAGATTAGATGATATATACCGACTTGCTAGGTCAATAACTATGACTAGTATGAATTTAAGTTTGATGTTGAAAAATAGCTGATACATTCTGGTTTCATTGTATAGCAAAATATTGTTGAAATCATCATTCAGTTATTGATTATAACTGTTTCCATGTCAGATCATGAAAAACATGATAATCGGAAAGTTACACTCTATCCAATTGTCGTGACTACAATCCCGTCCCCTTCCCCCGAATATGACCAACCGAATTAGAATTATCACAGGTTTTGTACTAACATGAGCAACATGACGGGTGCCACGTGTGGAGCAGGATCTGCTTACCCTTCTGGAGCACCTGATATCACCCCAATTTTTTGGTGGAGTTCATGTTGCTCAGTCTTTAGTTTCTATTTTTTGTCTTGTGTACTGTTGTTTGTCTGTTTGTCTGTTCGTCTTTTTTTGAGCCATGGTGTTGTAAGTTTATTTTCGGTTTATTAGTTTGAATGTCTTTGATATCTTTTGGCTCTCCTTTATGGTGATTTTACAGAAATCTGCATCATAGGAAAACTCTACAACAGGGCTAAAATGATAGTATATTGTTTAGGCTTTCATCATGTGGATTTTCAGCCTTGAGGTATTTCGGTCTAATAAACCCTTAAAATAATCGACTTTTTCTTGATTTGTCACTCCACTTTTTATGCTGATCTAAAGTAAAAGGCAACAACCAAATACGCATAATCCATCCCGCTTTCACAAACCCTATTATGGAGGTCAGATTCAAATCAAAAGAAATAATTACTTTATAATTGGCGTAGACTAATGTATAATTTGTAGAAATAAGAAGATACTCAAATTTCATGCACATTAGGATTGTTCTTGCATTTGAAAGTGTTTAATATTTTTATAGTCAAGTTGACCTACTGTTAACACAAAAATGTTATGGTAAAGGCGTCTCTTTCCATTACTTTGTTCTGTAACTGTGCTGTTTTGATTTATTTTATAGTTAATCTTTCACTTGAAACAGAAACAATAAAAATGGGGAAATCTCTCATTCTTACATGTACCGTCCATGGAATATCAACAATCGACACAGATGTGACGAGACAATTTTTTAAAGGAAACAGCGGAGTTCTCCTCTGCTACAACGGATACATAAAACAAACCAGGAAATACGAAGAAATTCTGTCCGAGGGAAATACATTTAGTTTGAAGATTAATAATGTTACCGAGTCAGACGTGAATAGTATATACCAATGTCGATATAAATTTTCTACTGTAGAGCAGTTGATAGGAATAAATGAAAGGAATTTTGAGTGTAAGTATGACTTTTTTAAAATAAAACACCAGTATGGTACACTCGCGTTAGATTTAATAGAATTTTGTTTTTTTCCCAACGAAAGAAACTCGCGCAATATTTTATTCTTTCCTGAACTCCAATCAGTTTCGTATTTAACAACTACTTCTATTTACTAGCCCCCTGAAGAATTGAATTGCTTCCCTAAGTAATTGATATCGATATACTTATCCTCAGGTATTGCAATATATGTATAATACTGTGGATTCATTTATTTTCGTGGGTATCAATTTTCGTGCATTGAGGAAAATTTGCATTTTCGTGGATATTTGTTTACGTGGTTGTGCCAATCTGTGCATACAAAGTCTATAGAAAATTTGTAATTCGTTGAACATTTGAATTCGTGGTTCACCTTTACCCATGAAACCTAACGAAAATTAGTATCGAACGATTATAATATCCACAGTAATGATACTGGACAGCTAATTAAGCGCTTTTCTGCTGAATTGCATATTCGGTCATGCTTTTGAATATGTACTCTTATAATGCTTATGTTGCATCTCTCTATATATCTGTCCTAATTTTTAATTAATTACAGATGAACCAACTGAAAATACAACGCTAGTTGAAATCAGCAAATACAACAATAACAGTTTTAAAATTCAGATTAATTTTACAAAGATTTTTCCGGTACCTAAATGCTCAGCTCACACGAAGGTTAGCATAAAGTCAAATATATAAAAATACCGATAGTAAGATTTAAAATATGAAAGTCTGATGGAAAAAAAAAATGTAAATAAAAATTGGTAAGATGATAATTTCGTCTAGGGCCCATTATCATATCACGAGAATATCGTACCAAACAGGAGAAGTGATGTCATGGGGCTGTTTTTTTTGGCCTTGTAATTTGCCTGAAAATAATATTAAAAAAAGAGTTATAACGTTATTTGTAAAATTTTAACCTGTTTTAACACTTAAGTAGGTTTTTACACAATTTTCTTAAATTTTAGAACTTTTAAAAGGATATATGACCCAATTTGAATTCCACTTATTATCGATTTTTTTTACTATTACCAACAATACTCATGGACAGGACCTTGGTACCCTTTCGGGGAACTTGAGTTCATCTCGGTTAGTTTACTCTTTAGTTTCATGTGTTGGGTTTTGTTATTTGTTCGTTTTTTCCCTATTGCCATTGTGATGTCTGTTTTTTTACCAATGTTATATTTTTGTCCGTTTGTATGTTTTGAACATTTTTTTTATTGTAAAGTCAGTGAAGCGACGTCATAGGGGCAATTTACTTAATTGTAACATAAAATAGGCTTAATTCAGGAACTATTTAACTACATAATAGTATAGAGCACAAGCATCATCTAAAATTATTTTTTTATGCAAGTAGATAAACTTCTTGTATAAGTATTCTTCTTGACAAAGGCTGTGTCTATATTATTTCTAACATATGTGGGTCAAATGGTCATGATTGTTGGAAAATCAAGTACTGTGTTTACTGTACTTTCAATGTAGAGAAACTATCTGAAATAAAAAAAAATGTAACGTTTTATTTAATTTCTTATTTTCAAAATTTTACTTTAGGAACTTGAGAAAATTGAATACAATTCATTTCACGGCCAAGGGCGGCATCATACCATCAATTTTCTTTCCGTGTTGCGTTATACATTTTTGCCCATACATTTATTTGCAGTGCATTGTTTGTTACAGAACTGAATATGATAATAACGATTTGTCAGATTATTTACCACTAATCGTGTGAGGTATACAATATTTGATATAGAATAAGGAGATGTGGTATGATTGCCAATGAAACAACTATCCAACAGAGTTCAGATCGAGTGGATTTAACCAACTGTAGGTACGGCGTTCAATAATGAGCAAATCCCATACCGTATAGTCAGTTATAAAAAGCCCCGACATGAAAAATGTGAAACAGTTTAAAAAAAGAAAGAAAGGCGGCCTGGTTTAAATACGACAAAACAATAAACGAAAAACAAACATGACAGAACGACAGACAGCAACCAACGACAACCACTGAATTACAGGCTCATGACTTGAGAAAGTCACATATAGAATCAGGCGAGGTAAAATATGTTTGTGAGCGCTCAAACCTCCCCAATTAACTGGGGCAGTGGTGTAAGAGCACAACACTTTGCAGAATCTTTTAATCAATATAAATTGAATACATAGAACGTTTAATTAATCGTTAAGAGATTTCCTTTACAGAACATTACATAAACATACAACAATGGATGATAGTTTATATATGCTATACATTATGACACCACACAGATTATGATATATTCGTTGTTACATTTTTACAGACCTGGAAATTGAATTTCAAAAATACAAGTATCGTTGAAGAAAGAATTTTCTACAAAGTATCGTTAATGTTGATGCATGATGTTGAAGAACAATGTAATACAGAATTAGAAATTCATTGTACCGTTGGCAGATTCACACACTATGACAAAACAATTCCATTCATGCAATGCTCGAGTAAGTACATGCATAATGTATGTTTTATAATTGAATGATTCTCGAATATTTTAAATCCCTATTGACTCCAAGTATTAAATCAATTGTTTCAAGATAAAAAAGTGTTTTAAGTTGATGAAAAGATTCTGTAAAAAAGAAAGTTAAATCGAACTAAGTTTTCGAGTTTTTCTTATATTAAAACGTTGACTTTTAAACCTCAAAATCGCGATTTTTGTGAAAGTTTAGCTTTTATTATAATAATGGTAATAAATCCATATTTGAAATTTTAGATAGAAATAGGGACCACATTTGCCTTATCGGACTTGCATGTACTCCTTCAAATTAATGAGCGATGGAGCAGAGTGACAACTTAGTCGGTACTGCTACTGTTAGATGATAAGTTCCGAGAGTACAACGAGCTCAGTAGCCATTTCTTTGGTATTGGCATGATTCAGATGATATATTGTCTATACATTTTTATTTTATAAATTCAATTCATCATATATAATCTAAGATTACAACTCCCTTAAACAAAGTTGAACTTGGACGTTTTTAGCTCTCATTTTAGACCCTTTGTTTTGCTCTCTCGAACATTTTAGTTTGTACGTTGGTATCGAGGGTACAGAAACAGATGATGTACTCATCCTTGTTATTCATTTTTGATACCACTGAGTCGGGTCAGCTGTCGATGGACTATTACTCCCTAATGATGATAGTTTTTTGCGTGAACCCCCTGAGGGGTTCACGCTTATATATTGGCGAGCTTTGGATGTGTCTATGGGCCACTCGATATCTCTCGGCCGGAAGTCGGAATAAAATTCTCGGAATGTCTCGAAGTTTTCGATCATTTATACAGGTAGTTATCTACGTCTTTGATACGGTCCCTCTATGGCTAGGCTACCACGTGACATTAACAATCAAAGTAAATTGGAAAGTAAAACAATAAAGACTAAGTTGCAGTCAAAAAATCATTTAACTATTAGAACTTATTTGCCTTTTCACAAAACATAATAATGTGTTTTTAATAATGTAAATGATTATCAAATATCAAGTATAATGATAACGCAATTATATAATCCATACTTTGAGACGGTCCCTCATCTCGTTGTGTGTGTTGTATTTAATAAACCTGGGAATAGTTTATTGACATAAAATGACCCAGAATAAACTGATTATTTCTGAACGTTTAACATTTGAGATTTAGTATTTCAATCATAGCATGAGAAAATGTCGGAAAGCATGAAGAAAATTAGGAAAACGATATTTCTGTAAAAATATTTTTCTAAGGTCGGATACGCAGTGATCGGAGAGCAGAAAGATAATCAATCAAAAGGATTTTTCTGTAAAAAAAATATCTAATTTCATTAATAAATACTACCAGACTAAGAGAATATTCATTGTTAAGGTTAAACTGAGACTGAATTTATTCCTAATAATTATAGAATATAATCAAAATTGTAATTGTATACGTGAATTATGTCTTACATGTTTGATCAGACATTACACTTATGAAAATTATTTGTAACATATGAGCACCAATGAGCAGGGATGCGTACTCAAAGTTAGTTAAATATCTAAAACTTAAAAGGTCGTGAATGAAAAAAATACTTGCGTGGTTTCAATTCACAAGGATTTTAAATCATTGCATCTCACAAAAAACGTAATTAATGTTTACAATAATCATAACGAAATTAATTACTATCATAATGTCAATTATTGTTTATTGTTTTAGTAGGGATTTATAAGTCACTGCTTATATTTTGTATAGCAATATATTCATAATCTTTAAAAAAAGATTCATTTGATAAATAAAATGTCCATCCGTAAATACTTGACATTTGTGTTTATTGATATTATATTCCAGCTATTTTCGGAAAAAAGTTCACAAACAGGAATGTATGTTTATTATAAAATTTCATTTTGTTTTCTTTTTTTTTCTTTTATTAATTCAACTTTATAGCATCTTAATAGTTGTACTATGATACGGTATTGAAAATTGTATTCATTGTGTTGAACAGCTATACTAAACGTCTTGATTCATTCACATTATACACCCTCTTCATACGCACACTATCGGTTTTTCCGTTCACAAAAATTCCGGATAAAATGTCAATGAATCCGGAGTCAAAACACTTAATTCAACTATAAGATTAATATATGTGATGACGCAAATGCGTATTCTTATCCAGAGAATCAGTGCATATGCTTTCTATTTACTATTTCTTGCGCAAAAATACCACGTTCAGACATAAATGTTAATTTCACTCGCGAATGCGAATTTAGCTTTTCTGATCAAAATTCATGACGCGGTAGTAAGAGCTTGACATGTGATTTTCAAGCACGATCATCATTGCTAAAAAACGGTATTCTGACCTCTAGCTGTTTCTCTTTTGCTTTCTTTTTTGAGTAATTGTCATAAATTTTGACATTTTCGAAATGCCAAGGATTTTCTACCTGAGGAATAGATTACTTAACTTCGTACTAATATGTTTGGCTTTTTTTTACACATTTTTCATTCGAGCATCACTGATGATTCTTTGAAGACTTAACTCGCGTCTGGCGTACAACATGTTAATCCTGGTATCTTTTCATATCTTCATGTCTTTTTATATAAATTGGTTCTTTTGAGAGTATGTTTATGTATTCATAAAACTTCTGAAAATAAGATATTCTTCAAAACCAAGTTTCTCTGTAGAATATTTGGATTGATTTAAGAAAATCAGGATATGATCCTTAAAATTTAAGATGTTTTATGAGACCAAAATAAGTCTCTATATAAGAGGTCCAAATGAAGCTGGTGTGTTACTCTCAAGAAATATATACGAAACATTCTTTAAAGTTGCATGCCACAGGGTTTCACTTCACATGGAAAATTTATCTATACAATATCTACCATGAGTACAGACAAATTCAATAACGAGTTCATAATATGAAGGAAACTCAATAAAAAGATATGATAGATAAAATAAATGCATCCAGATTATAAAGCTAACTGAGTGCTTAAATTTATATTGTAATTGGTTTTTGCAATTTGCATTATACATCCGGTTTGTACAAACTGGGATTTGCAATAGGTTTATGAAAAATATGATGTACAATCCCAAGTAACAAATGAAATAGTCGATCTTTAAAATGTATATTCAAACAGTAGCTGTATATATACACATTTCTATTCACAACTATCCAACATTACTTTCAACTGAGATGTGTAAGAATGTACACACTATTACATAGTTTTGATAAAGGTTGTTTAACTTCATCATTATCTTCTTCTTTTCACAGTCAATTATTTCAATTCAAATGGAAACAAAAATTCAGCAACAATCTTTTGGTGACCAGTCAGCGATCTTAGGTTCACGTATTGCTTTCCTTTTTTTAAAAAAAGCAACTTGTTTTTTCTCAAAACGTTTTGGGCTTTAGGGCAACTCCAAGCTTGTCATATTGTATAGATTAGAGGCCTGTCTATTGATTATGGCTGTTTATATACCTATATGGAGTTATTTTCTTTCAGAACGATAGGTCATTCTTTTGAAGAATCAACCCGGACCTACGGTCGGTCTTTCATTTGAACAATCCTGACACCTCGCTGTGTGTTATACGACAAGGAAGACCTTAAAATATGCATTATCTATAACATAATAACCATTTAAATTATTCATGGTTAATTGTTTCAGATTAGTTGCTGTCCCTTTGACGTATACCCACATCACTTTTTAATCATGATGAAAAAGGACATATGTTTTGAATTTTTGTACGAGCTGATGATTGTGATTTAAAAAGATTCAGAAGTGAAGTTTTGATTTTATGCAGTGAACATGGTGAAGTCTGACTACTATAAAAATAAGGAGATGAGGTATGATTGCCAATGAGACAACTATCCACCAAAGTTCAAATAAAGTGGATGTAAGCAATTATAGGCAACCGTACGGCCTTCAACAATGAGAAAAACCCATACCGTATAGTCGGCTATAAAAGGCCCCGACATGAAAAATATGAAACAATTCAACTGACAAAATTAACGGCCTGATTTATAACAAAACAATTAACGAAAAAAAAAACCCAGACATGAACCAACGACAACCACTGCTCCTGACTTGCATTGGGGCAGGCACATAAAGAATTTGGCGGGGTTAAACATGTTTGTATGCGCTCAACCCTCCCATAACCTAGGGCAGTGGTGTAACAGCACAACACACAACATAAAAACAAACTATGAAAATCGGTTGAAAAAGGCTTAACTCATCAGATTGACACAAAGAAGAATAACATTAAACATAAACACAGCCCGAACGTGGCAGGGTATTTATCCATCCCTAAAAAAAAAGACACTTAGTACAGATCTGAGAGTACTCACAGTTACTGACAGCTGATTCAAAGCCAATAAGAACTAAAAAAAATCATGTATCTAAGACTAAAATATCAATCAGTACACATCCAACATCCAATGGATTTAGTAAAGACGTAAAGAGAAAAACATGACCTTGTGCAATGCCAAAAATAAAGGTATCGACAGACTGTAGTACCGTTAAAGTGCATATGTGTATAACAAAACTATTTAGTATGAGTTTAATTTACTGATAACAAAATCAATATTTATATCGATAAAAACAATATTCAAAGATCTAATTACAGTGTTGAATTGGTAACCTTTTAGCATAAGTTTATTTAAAAGATTGAGTTTGATAAGTTTACCCGGATCGTATATAAATTTCCGTGGCTCGGTAAACAACATCACCTTAAAATTTAGGATGTGCTATATATTCCGTCTGAAATAAGTTTTTTACAGGTACAGCCAAACTTGCAAACCAAATCTTTGTATCTATGGAAGAATTTAGTAAACCTTTTAAGTAATTTGTGGTAACGAAATCCCTGACTTAACAATTTACCAGTAATATGATAGATTACGCTCATTTAAATCCAAAACGTCACTACAGACCCGGGCATAACGAACGAGTTGGGATATATAAACACCGTAAGATGGTGCCAGAGGAAGATCACCGTAAAAAAAAATGAAAATTAAC